TATGTCTGTCTGTCTGTCTGTCTGTGTGTCTATGTGTGTATATCTCTTGTCTGTCTGTCTGTGTGTATGTCTATTTGTGTATATGGTCCTTGTGTCTTTTACCATGTTTTCTCTATTCTCTCTCCCCTGCTGTTCTCCCTTGCAGAGAGCCCTTGCTGTGTCCAGTGTGCTGCTGTATTCACTGTACTTCTTTCTCTCTCTGCTTTGGACTCTCCTAGATGCTGTTTTCTGTCTCATATCTACAGTGAAAACCGTCTCCTCAGCCATACCATGGAGCAGTTTATAATCTGAGCTCAGGTCCCAGCAGCCACACTGGGCAGCTCGAAAGCTCCTGCAACTCCAGCTCAGGACATTTCTGGACTTCGTGGGTCCCTGCACCCACTGGCACATACCTCCCTCTCCCACCCCCCACAGAGATATGTATGTAATTTAAAATAATGAAAATCTGTTTTAAAATTACCCTTGGTTGGATCTACCTGCTCCTTATCAGGAATGAAGACAGTCAGATGGCAACCACTTTGTCCTAATTTGTCTTGGATTTTCCTCATTTAAAAATCTCCTATGCTCAACTCTCCTGTGCTGGGAACTCTCTGCAGTGGTGCGAAGAGTAGAGCAAGTGTTAGCCTGAAGGCAGGGACACACGTTCCAAGGCTGCCACCCAATCCTGCTAAACACAGATAATTTGACATAACATATTAGGAAGAAAAGCTGATAATTAAACAATAGACGTCTATGAGAGACCGATTTAAATAGGTAAAGAAAGTAGATCAGAAAAAGTGAAATTACCTGTCTGCACATACACACAGCAAGCATAAAGAAGAAGCTAAAGAAGCATAACATGGCAGTTTGGGAATTTTGTTTGGTTTTGATTTTTGTTGTTTGTTTGTGGGGATTTTTTTTGTTTTGATGTTTTAAAATGTTACTGTAGGTCGGGGACATCATGAGAATGTGTGTTTAATCGATTACATCAGAATCAGAGTGGACCTTTGTGCTCTATTGTGTATCAAGCTATTTTAAAGACGAAAATTACCACAGAACTAGCACTTGCCAGTCAGATGATGATGAAAATTGTTCCCACACGGCGAAGCCCACTGTGAAATCTCAAAAGCTCACAGGAAATGTGCCAGTCTGAGGAGGGGAGTTCGTTAGGCGTGCCCACTGCCTAGGTACCTGCTTGTCCTTGGCCTCACAGCAAACACAGGTGAACTCAGTTGCCAAGGCAGCTGTGTAAAGATTACCCCTCAGGGCTCCTTGAGGATTTCGGATAACACCCACTGGGAAATAGACTCGCCTGGAAACCTGGGCAATTACCACTCAGACTCACAGCTAGCTCAAGGAGAAGGTGATAAACACACGCCAGAACAGCATGGCACTTGGTTTACAGAAAGCTAACTACAGCGTGGCCATTGCTCTCCATGTAAAGATCGATCCTTTCAAATAGAGGCTGCCATTTCCTCTGTAAATATGCTATGTACACAAGCCTCGGGGACATGGAAGAGAAGGAAAGAAAAGGTAAGGACTGCTGGCAAGAGCCCTTTGTGAGGATGTCTTCCCCATACCCAGTAGTTATCTTGAGATTCTGCCTACTCTTCGAGGCAAGGCAGATGTTAAGTCAGAATGTCCACAGGGGCCTTTTCCATTATGATCCCTTGCCCTAAGTCCTGCCCCTAGAGACTCCAACAAACCCTCCTGTGTCAAAGCCATCAAAACATCTCAAGGAAATAAAAGCTAAAGAAGTCTG